CCCAAACCCGTCTCTCTCTAACTCTCCCGTCTCTCTCTTCGCCCCCACAACGTCGCCGCGAAATCTGGCCGTGAGGTCAGGTCTGTCGAAATCTGAGCGTTATTGATATGCATTGTGGTGGTTGGTGATAGAGACCAGTCTCCTACGGCTGCGGCGACCAAAGCTCCGACGCGGCTAAGGTTTCTACTCCGCCTACTTCACCTACGAAGCATAAATCTCTAGCTCTAGTGGCGGCTCCTACTTCAACTCTTGCGGCTTCAGTTCTTGTGTGTTCACCACCGATAGTTTCCACTCTAGCATCTGTAAGTTCCCCACCGACAGTTTCCACTCCGGCTCCTATAAGTTCTCCACCAACAGTTTCCACGCCGGCTCCAGTGAGCACTCCTCCAGCTCTCTGAGCCAGTCAACTCACCGCCTCTGGATGCTCTAGTCCAGTCTCCACCATCTCTGGCTCTCGAAACGGCCACACCGTCAGCTGAATCTTCTCCACCAGCTCCAGCTTTTGCGCCCTCGAGTGAGACTTCGGTAAAAGCTCGGCTCACAGCAAAAAGCATACTTCTCCTGCTCCGGCTCCAGGGCTAATGAACAGACCTCGCACTTCCAACCGAAGCACCCGATACTGTTGTGTAGATGTACAGTGCGGTGGTGGGGAGGTGCGCGGTGGAGCAAATATGTGGTCGCAACGACATTGGGTTTATTTCTATTTTATCTCTATTTCTTCTTCATCTTCTTTACTATCGTGTTGGTGATTGGTGGTGTGATGTGGGTGGTAGTGCCGGTGAGGTAGGTGTGATTGTGGTGTCCGGATATGTGGTCATGGTTGTGACTGTAATAATTTTTTGTTTATTGCGAAGGGCTGATTTGTTTGAAGTGGTAGAAATGGCTACGGTGAGGTGGTGCTGGCCTGCAGGCAGCTGAGGCGGTGTTTTTTTTTATGGTGGTGGTGCGGTGCAAGAGATGGTCTAGTGGTTGTGGTGGTGTGGTGCGGGCAGCAGTTGTTTAAATCTATGGTGTGATTTGTGACCAAGATCGGTGGTGGGGTGTTTACTGTATGTAACCAACTATCTGGACTAATTGTAACATTAAAATTTGACAATTTGTTATTAAAAATTAATCTGCTACCAATAAATTTGAAAATATATGACTGATAGATAACTGTGATATGTGATTTTTTGATCTGTGACCAATAAAATTAGTGATTTGTGACTTCGAAATAATTCGTAACCTACAAATTTTTTGATTTGTGACGGATAAAAAATTGTGACCTATAAAATTTTTGAACTGTGACCATAAAATAAGTCATGACTTATAAAATTTGTGATTTTTGATCACGACCTATCAATTGGTGACCGATGGACAAATTGTGACCTACAAAGTTT